ATATTATATTATATTATTATATTGGATTACTGAATAAACTAACCATTTGGGACTAAGTTAACCTGGTGTCACAAACACACTTGTAAAACACAACCTAAACTAAATAAGAAAGTTCTAGACATTAAAAATGTTCTCTTATCCTTCAGGCTTCATTCAACTTTGATTTATTTTATTTAAATAATGTAGAGCAAAGAGAACATATGAATTTTCATAAAATGAAAACAACCTATTTAACGAGTTACTAGCCACATCAAATAGAATGTTCCCTAATAAATGTTAAGCTGTAAAAACCAAGCAAAAACAATACTTTAGAACAGGTAGATTGTGTGGTAATATCAATTTAAAAGGACACAAATCTCTACCAAAATTGTACATACTGACTAGTTCCAGTCATTACATATRCAGTGAAAGTTTCTTTTGCAACCTTAGACATGATGAAGTTGCTGCTAACCCAAGCACACTTTAATAAAACCATTCCTGTCACGCTTCCTGTGAGTGCTCCGTCTGACCTCGCTGAAAGAGGTCATGTAGAACAAATTAAAGTTGCTTTATTACTTGAGCCTTAAAGGTTTTAAAGAGGAGCACGAGGTCAAAACCAGCTATCAAGCTTCCCATCTCTTCTTCTGTTTATGGTCCAATAACCACACTGATTTTACTCCCACAAACAAGGCTGGGTTTGAATGCTCACAAAGTAGGGTTTAAGGGAGTGTTGGCTCATTCAAACTATTTTTAAAAAAATATAAGAGTTAATGAGCTAAAAAAAGGGGCAAACTGGTCTCTACCACTTTAACTAGTAGAGTATGCTCTTCTATTTTACAGTTTTACATTTTAATGATTAAAAATAATGTTTAAAATAAACTACATTATCTTGGATAATATATTGATTGTAGTAAAATGCTAAACTTAGTTTATGAAAATTCCCTCAGCTGCTTTTTTACTGGATATCATAATCTATAAAATTCTTTACCTTCAATAGTTATCCTGACTTTCGCCTCACCATGCCTGAGGTTACATTCGTCTTTCAACTGTGTTCTCTCCCCCCACCCCTCATCGGGTTCTCCAATCCCTATATCATGAGGCCAGGACTGCTAATGTGGCACCCTGAGGCAGCCACTGTAAGTCACTGCAAAGTCATAACTCTGAGCCAGCTCAGTGCAGAGACCATTACAAAAAAGCCAAAGGCTTTTTAAGTCAGTAAGTCTCCCAACATTTACTTTATGTTGGTTTATGATCTAAAAGTCACAGTCATGTATCACACCTATGAATTGGATACATTTAAATGTTTGAATTTATCTTCTATATGTGGCTGYGTCAAAAGAACATTTTAATGAGAATGGTTACGCTGATAAACACGAGGACTTCTGCTGACCTTTAGTGATAAAGTCGCTGCATCATTAATGCACTGAGAGAAAAGAAGCCGCTGTGGGAGAACAGGCAAAAGCAAAGCTGCATAAACGAAAAACAACACCTTGTTGGTTTCGTACAGTTTATCCTGCTCTGGTTCTGATGCCACGTCAAGCGTATCCATCACTCCATCAACTAATCAATAAATAAATAGGTTTGATCAAATCACCCATCACTCAAGTGTCCATCAGTGCCAGCTCAGAAACAAACTTCACTCAGTTTGATAGAAGACCTCTAGTTAGTCTCTTGTTCATATTTTTGTACAGTCAGATCTCAAAACTTGCACAAGCAGAAGGATATAAAGTCACTGAAAATTTGACCATAAATCAAGATACAAAAACACTTTTGTGCAAGAAAATATATTCCTAACGTACACAGAAAACCACTATTAAATTATTTGACTCATGTTCTTTAGAATCTTTCAAATTCAATTTAGTTACAAAGTCCACTTCATTACAAGTCGATTCATTTCTTGACAATGCAGAGGAGAATCCAGCAGATTTACTGTGTATCAGTAGAATCGAACATACACAACATGAGAAAGATCTCTGGTAATGTATGAAAAAACAGAAGTAAATCAGCTAAAGGCTAAGGAAGTACATCACGATCAACAACAACTTTTAGGAAGAAAAAAAATCTGTTGCAGTCAGACATTTCAAAGTACTTCTTTGTTTTTATGTGCCAGTTATTTTTGCCTGTGTGTGAAAACTGACGTTAATAAGTAAAAGAYGGGTGCTGGCAAGCGAGCCAAACGTTCAGAGATGACGACAGCGCGGACTGCTCAAATGTCAGTTCACAAAGCAGAACTTATGCAGCGCAGGAGGTGGCAGCTGAACAGAAGGGTGAACAGGAGATAACAGAGCAAAGAGAAGGAAGACTGGAGGAAGGTGTTAAAAAGACGGGAGATGAAATCGAGGGGAAAAAGTAGTTTTGAGTGAGTGGCTGATGAAAAACAAGTTAAAGATCAACAAAWATAACCATTTGGAAATTACACCAACGTACAGTTTGGAAAAAAAAACAACTACTTTACATAAAGATGGCCCTGATCTGTGGGAGAGACTCAGCAGAGGAGAGATAGAGGGAAGCAGCTGGGGAGAAAGGCTGTTCTGATCTATTTTTTCCCCCAGAGCCCACCAACCCACCCCCATCTCACCACCTAACTGTGTAACCAGACCTCAGACCTGTCCTTCAGAAAGTGTTGTGTGTTGGGGGTTAACTGAGAGAGGTGGGCCAAGTTAGAACTCTGTAAACAGGGTCTTAAATAAAAAAAAAACGTGTTTAAAGATTTCATCACTTTTAAACAATCCTGTTTTTTTCCATAAAYGGTCCAGTTGAAGACAAGCACAGGCAGCCTTTCAGCCCACAGATCCATGTGCACAAATACTGATCATAAACACATTTAAGTCAAGAAACACCCTCAGAGGAACAACACAGCCCACCAATGTAATGTGTAATACATTATTCTACTCTCTACTTTAAAAAAATAAATAAATAAAACCTGTGTGGGCTGTGATATATATACAAAAATTATGGTTGATGAGTAATAGATCATATCTTTGCCCTCAACAAGGAAGAAAAAAAAGCACAGATGATAAAGAAACTGAAAAATATACTCCATCAAATTAAGAATAAGCAAAAATTGCAACAACTTCATTTCTTAGGCAACAAGTTTGCTAAATTCCCAGTGAAACTGTTTCATTTCAAAATATTTGAAAAGACAAATAAATGCATTTGATGCTTGACTCAAGGATGAAAACACTCTTATGCCCAGACGCATTAAACAAACCATCAGAATTGAAGCGCATTCCTTGAAGGAATGAATGCRTATCACCCGCCACCTTTCATTTTCACAAAGATTGTATTACAATGACAGAAGACAACCAATCAATCAAACTCATTTGTAGCCACACTGCAGGTAGATTTGATTAGAAATTGACCAGGTGCTAAATATAAAAATAAATACAACTAGCAACTTTAAACCACAACAGATTAAAGATAAAATGAGATAAAAAGATAAGACAAGATAAAATCAGGTAGGACCACATAAAACCACAATAATACAAAATAAAAAAATAAGCTAATAATTAGATGAGACAAGATAAAAGGCTATAAAGAAGAATCAATATTGAAACRATGCTAAATTGAATTTGGGAAAAAAATGACAGCAGGGACAAAGATGGTTTTAAAACGCTTAGTTTTACATTTCGGCACAATGTATCTGAGTCCTGATGGAAAGAGCTTGAAAAAGCAAACTTAAAAATGAACATGACACAAAACCCTGCATRTATGATAATAACCCTCAGCTGTTACAACACCAAAATTTAGCTCAATGTCTGCAAAACTGACTTCAAACATGAATCATTTCCACATTACTTTCTCTGGATTTCATTAAAATCCGTTTATTGGTTCATGAGGTATTTTACTTACACTACACACAAACAAAMAAACATACACACATTTATAAACAGACACACACAGGCAGAAATACTGTATGTTCTCACTCCCCTACAGGCATAAACCGATTTGGCAAGAACAAAAACAACACAATATCTAGTTTTTCTTAAAAAGAAATAAACTCTATCAAACATATGCGTCCTGTATTTTTGTGTGTTTTTATAAAGCATTCACAATATCCTAAGACTCCATCATTCAACATCACTCCTCAGGCTGTTATCTAATAAAAACTTCCAATAGATTGAACTTCTGTCATTCCATTTGCTAAAGGCAATCAAGTTGAGCATCTGTAAAAAAAATAAAAATAAAGAATAACCCATAAAAGACGGCATCTAATATACAGTGACCCTTAGAATTGTATTGAATGAGCTCTCTTCTTCCTCAGCGTTGGAAGAAGTGTTTCCCCCTTCCACACACACACACACACACATGCACACACACACAGACACGCACACAGAATGAACAATGATATTACAGTCAGCTTAATCAATCACAGACACACATCCTCACTTTCTAAGGCACCTCTTCTTCATGACATGACTCACATCCAAGGCTCCAACACATAAATTTTAAAACTTTTTAAAATATGCTTTAAAAAAATGCATTTTTTTTCTCTAATGGGACAAAAACAAGTAGCAATTATTTAGCCAACATCTGACTACGTGTAACTATTGAATAAAGAGAAAGTCAGTCTCCCAGCAGAATGTTTCTATTTAAGCTTTTCAAATGGCTCCCTCTTTTGGCAAGAAATACAAATGCCTGACTTGGCATTTAAACTGCTGACAGAGAGGATCGGAGTAACAGAAATGTGATTTGCAGTCTTGGAGTTCATTTCTAGTGGTGTAAAAACTTTAGGAATGTGTTCCCACCTCAGCTGTACACGCAGGCTGTCAGTTTTGGCAGGAGGCGCTCACCTGTGAGTCGATGCTGCTTGGTGCTGACTTGGTTGTTGTTCTGGACCGTGCAGCAGAGATGGAGCATGGCGAACATGGTCACGATCATCACCACGCTCTGAAGCAGCAGAGTCAGCTCAAACTGCTTGCCTATCCTGTGAGAGCGATCGGAAATCAAGCAGAAACCGTTCACGAAGGAGAATCCGTGCTTACAACCCAGACAGCACACTAAAGTTTTCCTTTTTCTTGTTTAAATAATATGCTCACCAGAAAAATATGCGTAAGATGTTGGCTATAAGCAGCACCAGGCACACTCTGGTGGAGAAGCCCTCGGTGTTGCTAATCCTCTGGATCTCCTGATACTGAGGGACATACGGCAGGGACCCCCCAAACACCATGAGGACGGACGCCAACAAGGACAGCAGCGTCCATGAGCCGTCCATGTCCTCTTCTTGCAGGACCACCTCTTCATCCATCACAGCAAAAGGGTCTTGTAGGGGCACCTAATAAGCTGAAAAGTACCACACAGAAGCTGATCAGGATCCCTCAGAGGAACTTTTGGAATCGATTATTTAAAAGTAAAATAACAAAGTAATAATATGCTGAAGTGGGATTTGAAGTTCTAGAGCAGAATAGTAGCGGACCAACAGAATTATGATCTTGGTTTCAAAGTGGATTTTTTACTAACTTCTGTGCAAATTGAAGCTACCTAATCAGCACTAGTGGAGTCTTTGAGCCCTGAATGCAACAAATTTGATAACTGTGCAGAAATGGTCAATGTATCTTTTGGTCATTGGATTTTTTTTATTTTAGAAACGGGTATTAAAAAACAAGAATTGAGTGGATGTTTGATTTTTGTTTTTAAAATACTG